ATGGCGTCACTCTATGTTGCCTCCGCGTCGTTCGCTCCCCTTGCTGCTCTTAGGGCCCCACTAGATCGCCATTCCCGATACAAGCTATCTCTCTCAAGGTAAAACAGTTTTCCAATATCAGCCGAACAGAATCTGTAATCATTACGAGCCGCTAGTTAAGCTTACGTAGTTGACAACGTTGTCAAGCTAAAGGCGACAGCATCGTAACTACCTTAGCGAACATTGCAGCTAAGTTGCTATATATGTGCCTGTGAAATCTCTGCCATCGAGTAACGCTTGCGTATCAAGAGCACGACCGAGATGGGATTTGTCTGAGGTAGTAGCACGCAGCAAACAGAGCGTTTACCGTGCGTGATTCAGACTCCCTAGGTGCGAAAAGTCGTCTGTCGATCCAAACAGAGCCACACTGCTGTCCTTTGTTCACTCGAAAACGGGCATGAATCCCCTCAGAAATGGGATTTGTCAATACGCTTACGCCATTAGGCTTGCGTTTCGGAAATGCCAGTCGTAGAATTTTACTTAGTATTCCGAAGAAACATCACCACCAGTTCTGAGGCGCCTCAATCGTCCAGTCGGCCCTTGACCTTCCAGTGAAAACATCTTCCTAGCTTCCCGAGTTCCGCTTCCACTGCAGATTTGTCTAGTGATCCACTCAACTTGGATTATTTCATCTTATATTTCACAACAACGCGTCCTTCCCACTTCGCAGCCTAACTTCCTCATATGGTGGCCTCCGCCTCTCCGCCGCGCCGACCTCCGCGGCGGCGCGCGGAAGCCGTCGCCCGCCAAGCCCGACTCTGCTCCGCGGCCCCTCCGCCTCCGCCAGCAGCAGCAGCAGCGGGACAAGCGGCGCCGATCGCGGCGCGTCGGTGCTTAAAGACGCGCTGACGATCTTCGGGTCGTCTAAGTCGGCGGCGGCGGTGGCGGCAGCGGAGAAGGGCCCACCGGCGCGGAAAGGGGAGGCCGCCGCGGCAGGAATCGCGACGGGAGTGGCGGCGGGGATTGCGGCGCAAGGCGTGCCGTTCGACCTGCGCCTGGCCGTGCTGCTGGGCGGATTCGCGTTTGAGGCGTACTCGACTCCCACTGTAAGACGCACGCGACGGGAAAGAAGGTTGAATGACGGGACGGAAAGGACAGCGGACTGAATCTGGATGAGCCAACGGGAAGGGGGAACACGGGAAGGGAGGTTGGTGGGAGGGAGAGATGTGAAGTGCTTCACATCAGCAGGTTTGTGAAGCGCTTTTCCCCATACCCTGCAGTTTTGAGACGTCTCAAAACTTTTCCCCATACCCTGCACCACAGGGAAGCGATAAGCTATCGGATGTGTACAGGCGGTTGTACTTGGCTGTTTCCCTGTTGAGAACCCCCTTTTCCCTCCATCCTCATTCCTCCTTGTACCCTACACCACAGGGAAGCGATAAGCTATCGGACGTGGACGGGCGGCAGTGCTCTGCTCTCTTCACCTCCACGCCATTCGCCCACGAGCTCTTTCAAGGGCAGCTCTCCGTGCGCGCGATTACGGCCACAGTATGAGAGCTCGCTCACTCACCCACTCTCTCACTCGCTCACTCGCTCACTCACTCCCTCACTCACGCACTCACTCACTCATTTACCCACTGCTCCACTCCATTCGCCTCCTCGCCATTCGCCCTCGAGCTCTTTCAGGGACAGCTCTCTGTGCGAGCGATCACAGCCACGGTATGGTTCACTCACTCACTCTCTTACTCTCTCACTCACCCACTCATACACTCACCTCTTCTCTCATTCACTCTACTCCTCTCTCACCCCATCCTCTATCCTCCAGGGCAACATCAAGGCGCTCCATGCTGAGCTGGCGCTGGTGACGTCAGCGGGGAAGGCAGCCACGTGGAATGGCGTCGCTCACACCACCGTGAAGGCCCAAGAGTGAGCTGGAACCTGTGCTTCCCATTCATGCTCGCATGCTCAAATACATGATACATCCCCGCATTCTTCCTCTCCTCACAACACCCACATCCTCGCCTTCATCATCCTCTCCTCACAATCACACACATCCTCGCGTTTTTCCTCACATCACATTCGTAATTCATCCTCCCATTATGCTTACGTCACATGCGAATCTCACATTTACACACTTCATATGCTCACCGCCTCCCCACCTCCCTGCTTCTCCTTTCAGCCAAAAGAAACCATCATGGCCCGAGCAACTGCAGCTGCTGGTGCCGCGTGCTGCTGCATCTGACACCTTCCTTCAGGTGGGTATGTGCTCTCTCAGGTGATTCGGTAATCCTCTGCTGGCCCCAGTTAATTTTCTCTTTTCTGAGGGATATAACGTTTAAAATACATATACATGCGATGGGATAACTCTGCACACGATTGCTCTCCTCCTCACCATTGGGTCAACGGTTCACCAGTGGCTTGCTGGCAGGGAATATCTGAAACCCTCTTGTCTCTCGCTCTGTCTCCTCTCCTCACCGCCCTGCCCACAGATCACCTTTCACAGCAAGGATGACGATAAAGATTCCGACGAGGATGATTGTGTGGTTGGCACGGCCACCATTGCTCTCACTGACCTGATCAAAGGTGGGGGTGAGGGAGGGTGTGTTAGGAAGACTTGGGGGAGTGTTAGGGTACATTCCGGGCTCTGATCGGACTTCTGGTCAACATTGCTTCTCAACCTGGGAATAAGCACATTTTGTGAGAAATAGTTGCGATTTAGGCCCACAAGCACGCACGGCTGACCAGAAGTTTGCCCAGAGCCCAGAATGTACCCTAGGCTATCCACTTGTCTCCATCCTTTGAGTCCATCTTCGCTCTGAACCACTCTCCATTGTTATGCCACCGCTCGCCACTGCTCTCCACCACTCTCCACCACTCTCCACCGAATTTCACCACTCTTGATCCCTCTCTGTGCACTGATTCAGACACCCGGATTCGCGATGTCGTGGCTAAGGTGACTTGGGACGGCAAGCCGACAGGAAATGTCACCATGGAGGTAGGTGTGGGGAGGGAGGTGTGAGTGGGGAGGGAGGTGTGAGTGGAGTAGGTGGGTATAAGGGGAGGTGGGCTTGGGATAGATGGGTTTGGGGTAGGTGGGTTTGGGGTAGGTGGGTTTGGGATAGATGGGTTTGGGGTCGGTGGGTTCGAGGGGAAGTGGGTTTGGGGTAGGTGGGTTCGAGGGGAAGTGGGTTCGGGGTAGGTGGGTTCGAGGGGAAGTGGGTTTGGGGTAGGTGGGTTTGGGGTAGGTGGGTTTGGGGTGAGGTGGATTTGGGGTAGGCGGGATTGGAGGGGGTGGATCAGTGGTTGATAGGCTTTAAGGTGACTTGAGACGGTAGGCTGACAGGAAGTACCTTCTTGGAGGTAGGTGTCTGTATGGGCAGGTGTGGGGGAGGTAGGTGTGTCTCAGGTGGGTGGGTTTGGGGGGAGGAAGGTTTGGAAAAGGCAATTTCAATCTTGAGTGATCTCATCATCTCATTACGCACTGTGCATCGTGGGTGGGTGGTTGCTTGCCCTTGCGCCTGTGGCAGGTGGACTATTCAAGCTTCTCTGGCCCAAGCGACAGGTAGGGATGAGAGGGAGAGGTGGGAGGGTGAGAGTGTTTGTAGTGTGTGGAGATGCAACGGGAGCGGCAGCACCTAAGGCAGACAGAATATGTGAGCTGCTCCGGTGAAGACGATGGGTAGGGGTGAGAGGGAGAGGAGCGGGTGGGGCTGTGAGAGAGTTGGAGAGGCAGAGAGGCAGAGAGGCGGAGAGGCAGAGAGGCAGAGAGGCAGAGAGGCAGAGAGGCAGAGAGGCAGAGAGGCAGAGAGGCTGGTAGAAACACCATTCTATTCCTTTTTCCTTGTATTTATGGAATCACTCACTCACACCAGTCACCCCCAAGTCATAGCTCCTCTCACTTCGCCCCTTCCTGCCCCCCCTTATCCCAGCTTCGAGCCTCTCCCCATCCTCCAGAGGCTTCTCAGCACGCCTCTTCCCACGTCGGCCTTTCAACCATCGGCCACTCTTTCTCGAGGCAGCACCGTCAAGAATAATGCCACAGCTGCTGCCACTGCCACTGCTGCAGCAGCAGCAGCAGCAGCAGCAGCAGGGCAAGTGTCCGCTGTAAAAACGGGGGAAGATTCAAAAACTGAAGCTGAAGCAGCAGCCTATGGGCTCTCCCTCCCAGACCAACGGGCAGTTGAAGCTCTTTTTGCCACAGGAGCCAATAACGTGACACTCGCCGCCTGGGAAAACCTTTCCCGGGCAGCTGCGGGCGGGCAGACGGAATATTTCAAATCGGCGTTTGAGTGCGTGTGCTTCTTGAGCAGTGGCGAGTCGGACACTCAGGTGTGTGGGCCTTTGAGTCGCCTTTTAAAGCTTATGTTGAGGCACATGTCTAGACGCCTTTTTGGAAGCCTCAATAGCTCTTTACTGAGCAGTGGCGAGTCGGACACGCAGGTGGGATTTTAGGGCGAATTTGAGATGCTTGCTGAGGCAGCTTAAGTGAGGCAGGCACCTCTTGAAGCACAGTAAGAAGCACCTTCATATGCAGCTCTTGAGGCACCTTTAGAAGCACCTTCAGTTGGTCGCTCATCTCTCATCTGTCAAACATGCAGGTGGGCGTGTGGAGGGATAAGGACCTGCAGAGGAAGAGGGTGGAGGTGTCATTCTGAGAGGATTTACCTGTCCATTGTGCAGGTGGGCGTGTGGAGGGACAAGGACGCCCGGAGGAAGAGGCTGGTGGTGTCATTCCGAGGCACTGAGGTGGTCAATGCGGCCATGCTGAAAGACGGACAGGTGAGGACGGAGCAAGTGAGGGGATTGGAACCCTTTATGGGGATGCGGATGCAAGGAGAGAGAGCGGGTGGTGGTGTCGTTCCGAGGCACTGAGGTGGTCAATGCGGCCATGCTGAAAGACGGACAGGTGAGAAGCAGACAGGTCGGGGGATGGGACAGGTCGGGGGATGGGACAGGTCGGGGGATGGGACAGGTCGGAATCTAAAGATTTCATTGACGGACCTGAGGCTGCACTAAGAGAATGAACCATAACCATGTGATGTGCCCATAAGCATAATCCGCCATGTGCCTCTCTCACGCCCACTCCCCTTGCTCCTGTGCTTCCCTCGGCCACCAACCAACAGGCAGGTCAGAAGATCAAGGACGCTCTGACTGACCTGAGGCTGCACAAGGAGAAGTGAGTGCTGCATGCCATGCCAGTGCCCATGCCATAGCGCATAGATCTTGACCTTCCATCTGATGTTCCCATGCTCAAGGATGCAATGGCAGACCTGAGGCTGCACAGGGAAAAGTGAGTGCTGCACAGATGTGGATAGTGCCCAGAATGTTGTTGCCAAGTTCAAGCATACGATGCGTACACGCTTAATGATGCGATTATTAAACTAAAAAAAAAAAAAAAAAAAAACGGAAACAAATCGTATTTATCCAATTGATACCATTAAACACACACGAGCTATCATCTGATATTCCAAAATGTATTCATCCTAGATGTAAACCCACCATTCTCCACGCAGGATCTTCTTGTTTCCCTTTTCCTCTTTCTCCTTTCCGTCCCTCACAATCCCTGCTTTCCGTCCCTCACAATCCCTGCTTTCCGTCCCTCACAATCCCTGCTTTCCGTCCCTCACAATCCCTGCTTTCCGTCCCTCACAATCCCTGCTTTCCGTCCCTCACAATCCCTGCTTTCCGTCCCTCACAATCCCTGCTTTCCGTCCCTCACAATCCCTGCTTTCCGTCCTTCACAATCCCTGCTTTCCGTCCCTCACAATCCCTGCTTTCCGTCCCTCACAATCCCTGCTTTCCGTCCCTCACAATCCCTGCTTTCCGTCCCTCACAATCCCTGCTTTCCGTCCCTCACAATCCCTGCTTTCCGTCCCTCACAATCCCTGCTTTCCGTCCCTCACAATCCCTGCTTTCCGTCCCTCACAATCCCTGCTTTCCTTCCCTCCTCCCTCCCCCTCTTCCCCCCAACCCAAACCCAGCTTTGACTCAGACTTAACTGACGAGGACAACAAGATGGACATCAAGGTAACGTGATTCGAGTTGATTCAGGAGCTGACTTTTAAGTCGACTCAAAGTCAGCCTCTTCCCCCCAACCCAACCCAAATTCAGCTTTGACTCAAGACTTAACTGACGAGGATAACAAGATGGACATCAAGGTAAAGTGTTTTCTCCTTCTACTCCAATCCCAAAACTGCATGACGGCTTTCTGGGACGGATTTTTACTCCAAACCCATACCAGACCAAAAGCTTCGCCACATTCTGCTCCTCCGGCACACCGCTTCACACCGCTGCACACCGCTGTTGTCCCGTTTCTTTCAACAGCCTCGGATGTCCTCTTCTTTAGTCCAACTCCTCACCGATGTTGTGCATGACGTTGTTTCTGGGATGGGTTCAAGTCTGTGAGGCGCTTTTGATATTTTTTTCAAAGGTGTATGACAGCTTTCTGGGATGGATTCACGCCCGTGAAGCTGCGGCTCCCTCTGCTGCTCAGGCACACCATTGTGGTGACGTTCTCTCAACAGGCTCTCGTGTCCTTCTCCTCCCTATAAGGATTGTTGCCCCTTCTCTACAATGCTCCCCCTCTCAGGTACATGACGGCTTTTTGGATGGCTACAAGTCCGTGAAGCCGCGGCTCCTTCTGCTGTGCCTCATTTTGCTGCACCTTGATTCTCAGCAACCTCTCTTGTTGCCCCTCTGTTACCATTGCTCCCTCTCAGGTGCATGACGGCTTTCTGGATGGCTACAAGTCCGTGAAGCCGCGGCTCCTTCTGCTGCTCAAATCTATTCTCGCATCCTCTAGCGAAAAGTGAGCCTTCTCAAAGCTATACTTGCATCATGTCACAGGCTCACAGCCTGGGGGGCGCTGTTGCAGCATGGATCCTTGTTCCCTCCCATTCAGTAACATTGATCCCACGCCATCATCCCACCATGGTGTCATGTCACCATCCCCACATCATGTGCTGTGCCATGTTCAGCACCACATCATGGTCGCGGGACACTGCCTCGGTGGCGCTCTTGGAGCATGGATCCTTCCTTGTTGCCTCCCGTTCCATATGCATTGCTCCCACGCCATCATCCCATCCCATCATGTCATCGCCATGCCACCATGCCACCATCCCACCAGGTATCACGTCATGGTCACGGGTCACAGCCTGGAGGGCGCTCTTGCCTTCCATCGGCATAGCCCATGTGCTGCTCCTTCTAACGATGCCACCAACCATCCATCCCACCATGCCACCATGCCATCAGGTATCACATCATGGTCACGGGGCACAGCCTGGGGGGAGCTCTCTCCACGCTCTTCACATACGACCTTGCCCAGTCAGACATTAAGAAGTGAGTGTGGTGAATGTGAAAAATCGGACAGATGCTGTGTGGTGTGGTGAACAGAGATTTCTTGAACGTCTCGGAACAAACAACTGATAGTACTGTGTCAGGGACTTTGCTGGGCCTAACTCCCCTCTTTACTTGTTTTTCCAAGCTCTCAGGCAGCTAGATTTCACACTCTACCTTAACAACTTCAGGTAGCCTGTGAGGAGACTTAAAGCCCTCCGTCTTCTCCATTCGTCCCCCTGTTTCCAATCTCCCCTTATCACCACCACAGGCAGCACGGATTCAACCTCTCTCTCTACAACTTTGGATCTCCTCGTGCGGCTTGTGGGAAAACTAGGAATCTTTTCTTCCAATCTCCCCTTATCACCACCGCAGGCAGCACGGATTCAACCTCTCTCTCTACAACTTCGGCTCGCCCCGTGTTGGCAACCATGCCTTTGCAGCTCGCTTTAACCAGGTGTGTGCTGCTCACAGGGCGTGCATAGGGGCTCACAGGGCGTGCACATGTACATGTGTGTGTGGGAAACCATCTCGCTTCAACCAGGTGCGCTGTGCGTAGTCATTGAGTTGCTTAGTTGTATTGTTTTGGGCACCTCAGACGTGGTTCTGAGTTGTAATGTTGGACCACTTCTTCTGAGAAAGGGACCCCTCCTCAGAAAGGAAGCACTTCTGAGATGGTCTCATGAGACCATGATATCCAGTTCCCTCTCCTTACCCCTTCAGGCTTCCCCCTTCCTCGTTTTCCCTTCCGCAAATCCCCTCCTCCCAACCCATCCCGACCCATCCCATCCCAACCCAACCAGCTCGTGGGTGACAGCTGGCGCATTGCGAATTATCACAATATAGTGCCATGCGTGCCGTGTGTGTTCTACAAGCACTGTCCGCCCCATAATATTCTACCTGTCCCCCCGCCCCTCTCTTTTATATTCCAACCAATCTCAACCCCTCCCAACCAGCTTGTGGGAGACAGCTGGCGCATCGCGAATGACCACGACATAGTGCCGCGTGTCCCCTACGTGTTCTACAAGCACTGTCCGCCCCATAATATTCTACCTGTCCCCCCGCCCCTCTCTTTTATATTCCAACCCATCTCGACCCCTCCCAATCAGCTTGTGGGAGACAGCTGGCGCATCGCGAATGACCACGACATAGTGCCGCGTGTCCCCTACGTGTTCTACAAGCACTGTCCGCCCCATAATATTCTACCTGTCCCTCCCCTCCCCCCCTCCTCTCTTTTCTATTCCAACCCATCTCAACCCCTCCCAACCAGCTTGTGGGTGACAGCTGGCGCATCGCCAATGACCATGATATAGTGCCGCGTGTCCCCTACGTGTTCTACAAGCACGTGGCCACAGGGGTGGTGCTTCGACCCGACTCGCAGAAGTTGGAAAAGGTGGGTGGGAGTGGAGTGAGAAGCATTGCCGGTGACCTGGATAGACATCGTGCCTCGCGTGCCATATGTGTTCTACAAGCACGTGGCCACGGGGGTGGTAATTCGGCCCGACTCGCAGAAGTTGGAAAAGGTGGGTGGGAGTGGAGTGAGTAGCACAGCTGTCCGTGCATGGGTGTGCTGCTGCCGCATGTGTCTTACGTGTTCTACAAGCACGTGGCCACGGGGGTGGTACTTCGGCCCGACTCACAGAAACTGGAAAAGGTGGGTGGGAGTGGAGTGAGTAGCACAGCTGTCAGTAGCACAAAGGTGGGTGGGAGTGCAGTGAACAGCGTTGCCAACGACCATGACATAGTCCCACGTGTGCCGTACGAGTTCTACAAGCACGTGGCCACGAGGGTGGTGGTCCGGCCCGACTCCCAGAAACTGGACAAGGTGGGTGAGTGCAGTGAGTAGCATTGCCAGCATTGCCAGCATTGCCAATGATCATGACGTAGTCCCACGTGTCCCGTATGTGTTCTACAAGCACGTGGCCACGGGGGTGGTGCTTCGGCCCGACTCGCAGAAACTAGACAAGGTCGGTGCATGCTTTGACCCGACTCGCAACAACTTTAGTACATCACCGACTATTGAGTATTTATGTACTTAAACCGTTACATTTTCCCATCTCGGCCTTCTCCTCCCCTGGCTACTCTGCTTTGGGACGTCTCAGAACAAATTTATTATCACACGGCTACTCTGCCCATGCTGCTCTTGTGGTTATGCTGTTCTGATTGCCCTTCTCTGTGCCTTGTAATCCACCAGCTGTGCCTTGTAACTGATCTCCCAGGATGCCCTACCGTAAAAACAGCTCGGCACCTTGGTGTGTCGTCACTATTCCAACATGCCCCCCGGCATGCCCTACACTTGCCCCGTGTGATTTTTGAGGCGCCTCAAAAATCACCTCAATGTGTGTCGTCACTATTCCAACATGCCCCCCGGCTTGCCCTACACTTGCCCATTGCCCCTCAGGATGCCCTCCTTAAGAAGCGACTCGATACCATCACAACAGTCAGCTTCCTGGTAACGTCTTGTATGCTTTTAAAAATCTTATCGCTAGCGAACACTATCCAATCACCCCTCACCTCGCTTCTTTCCTTCACATCTTCTAGCTCCGCTGGTCCCTCTTCACTGTTTCCCCAGCCCTCCTCTTTTCAGTTTGCTGAAAAGTCGTCTCAGCCCTACTCTCCATGCTCTTTGCCTATCGTACCCCATATAAACTCACTCGCTTCATCCCACAGAGCGAGAAGCCCAAGCTGCTGTTCGACGGTGCTGGCGCCAGCAAGCACTCGCAGCCCGCATACTTCCTCTCGCTGCTCAAGGTGCGTTGGTCGAGTTGTTAGGTCACACTAAGGACCTGCATGCACTCCCACAGAGCGAGCAGCCCAAGCTGTTGTTCGACGGTGCCGGTGCCAGCAAGCACTCGCAGCCGGCTTACTTCCTCTCGCTGCTCAAGGTGCGTTGCTGACTGGGCTGTGCTTAGGGTGTGTGATCAGTCTTCTGAAATGTTTTGACTTAAAAGCGCCAACAAGCATTCACAGCCAGCTTACTTCCTCTCGCTGCTCAAGGTGAGCTGGTTGGTGGTGGTGTGGTGGGGTGAAGGTGGGTTAAAATAAAACACAGCCAGCAAGCACTCGCAGCCGGCTTACTTCCTCTTGCTGCTTGTGGTGTGCGTTGGTGGTGTGGGGCTTTGAAAGTTGTTGAGACGACTTGAAGCCCCCACACGTAGTCCCATTGTACCCATCCCAACGTTCCTGCTCCCATTATCCAAATTTGTTTCCGCACGTAGTTCTCCTCATCTTATACCAATTTTCGAGTTGACTCAGAAATTGACTTATCATGCACGTAGTTCCCCTCATCTTACCAAGCCAACGCACTCTCCCTCCTCCCATCCCACCAATTGTCGTGTTTCCCAGCAAGTGCGCTTCAACCTGAACAAGACGTGACATTGTCACATGTGCCACCCATATGGCTTGGCACGGCGGTGTCTAAACATCCCATCCCAATCTCCCTCCTACTCCCATCCCACCAAATGTCATGCTTCGCAGCAAGTGCGTTTCAACCTGAACAAGAAATGACTGCTACAGTGACATGGCACATCCCATAGCACTTCATGACATGACGCCCTTACTAAACAATCTTATTGTCCTGATTGGGTTACCCTGTGGTTACATTAGTCTGCTAGGCGTCTTTTTGGTTGTTATTTGTCTTTTCAATAAGTCTGGTTTACCAAAACAAAAATACCATGCGGTGCTTTCCTGTTGCACCGGTAGGTGGTGCTAGCAGAACAGTGTAACGTACCAGCAGTAAAAACCATGTAAGTTACACTTCCCGGTATATTGTGCCCTGTTGTGGTACAACAGAGCATGACAAATTACACTACCATACAGCCAGGCCCTCAGATTGGTTTGGGCTAGTCTGAAAAATCAGAGTTGCTACATGACTTAACTCTGAAAAACAGAGTTTTTCCTGCAAAAATACCACTGCACACTAGAAAAAAATCGCAAGTTTCCTGGTTTTTCTCCAAAAAAGGCTGAATTTTCAGAGTTCACTTCGAAAAAAGGTTGAAATTGTTGAGATAATATCGAGACTTAAGCACTTCAAGGAAATTCGTGTAGTACAGTAAAGTACCGATAGGCTGACGTCAGCAAAGCGCTACGCGCCATAGGATGACGTCAGCACGTAGCTATAGACCTCGCGAAAAGTTACGTCCCGTTTCAGAACAAGAAAAGCACAGTACAGTAGGCGAACAGGTACTTTACTCTAGCTATATATTTTGTACCGTATGTTTGTCAATTTATAATATATCTGATTTCAGAGACACTGATCTTGAAACATATCACTACATGGGCTTTTATTAAAGTCCAGACAAAGCTTTCATAACAGGCTTTAACTCATATAAGACTTCCGCTACGACAGGAAGCTATCATCCTAAGTAGTACGATCCTATTCAATCACTTCAAATTCTAACATGGTATTGCGAGCATCTTAGGATACTACAAGCTTCCATCTACTTACTCTACAACTATGTCTGGATCTCCACGGTCCAACAACGGCTCTTCTGTTACGAGCCCATCACGCCCAACAGCGTCTCCAGCTGCAGACAATTCACATCTGCAGCAACAACAACAACAACAACAATATCAGCAACAACCGATGTACGGCATGCCACTGAGTAGTCAGCCTGTACACACAACTGCAGCAGCGTCATCATCAACAGCAGCCGCAGCATCAGCAGCCACAACAGCTGCAACTGCAGTCACTGGTTCTTCTAGTCAACCAGGACAACAGTCCAGTTTCGTACCAACTGGACCTTATCAATATCAAGGTGCTTACCAGCCAACGAATCTTCAACAGCGTGTCAATGCTGCCGTCTTGTCACTTAACCAAATGTTTCCAACTCCTATGAGTCTTGATGGCTCCAGTTATCGGCATGGCCAGATGCCACAAGGAAGTGACGGGTCGAATAACTCCTTCTCTTTCGTTCCTGCTGGACAAGGACAACAAGCACCACAAGGGTCACAGATGCCATCACTTTATCAGTTACAATCAGCTGACGGTACCGGAAGCTATCTTCCCGCCTCTGCAAACCCAACAAAAATTAAAACGACTGTGCCTTTTAACGGTCAGGACTTCTATACCTGGAGCTTTGAATTTGAGCTTCTTGTTCAGACCGCGGGGTTCTGGCAGTTGTTCGACGGCACAGCACCCTTTCCATCACACGGGTCACCACTTCAACAGGCCACCTTTCGATCAGCGTCACTGACTGCATACACAGTTCTCGTTCGCAATCTGACACCGACTGAACAGCTTGGTATTCGTCCTTTTCGTACCAGTGCCGCTCCCGCTGAAGCAGCTTGGTTATACCTGCAAGGGGTTCACATGGCAAAGGACACTGTCAACCAGAGTAAAATTTTGATGCAGCTGTCAAATATACAGATGATAAACGGCGAGAAGGTGACGCAGTATATCAACCGCGCTCGAAATCTGCGTGATCAACTTCAGAAGTGTGGAGGGTACTTCCCCGACGCTATGTTTCACACGGTGCTACTCGCGGGTCTTGGACCAGAATGGCGACAGTGTCGCTCTATTCTTCGGATGCAAGCACAATTGTCCGAGGGGGCACTATGTGCCGCTCTCATCGCCGAGCAGCAGGATATGGACCTGCACAACGCTCGAGGAGGAAAAAAGGTGGTAAATAACACAGTCAGCTTTTATTCTAATCCACGTCACAAACCCGTTTGTTCCTTTTGTCGCAAAGCAGGACATACTATTGATACCTGCTGGTCGAAAGATAAACCATCTTGGAAACGGACTACACCGAAACATCCCAAAGATTCTTCAGGTGAAGCTGAGAAGCAGGAAGCTGAGAAGCAGGAAGCTGAGAAGCAGGAAGCTCTGAAGCAGAATACTGCGAAGCCGAACTCTGCGAAGCCGCCTACTACACCTGCCAAGACACAAGCGAAAGAAGTTATTAATTGTATGACGTCAGTTTCTACAGTCTACGATCCTGACGCTGAGGAACGTATTCACAATAACTTCAATGATGAACTTGATAAGAAACAAGGAATGAATGAACTATGAATGAAATGGGTACAAGTACTAACCCTAATTGGGTTGTACCCTTTATGGGTTACCCCACTATAGCCTACACAATATGCATGAGCTATAATATTCTGACACACCCCCATAGGCAAAGTGGGGGAGAACAAGGGGTCACAAGACCAGTCAAGCAAAGTAAAGCAAAGCAAGCTCAGGGTGGATCACAAAGTCACCACACATTCCGAGCACAAGTTCAAGGCCACAAGGTCAGTTCACATGCAGGAGTACATATATATATAAAGGCTAGACAAGCAAGAGCAGGTATATATATATGTAACAGCACAAGCAAGGTCAAGAGGTGAGCAAGTGAGGCAAGGTAGGCACAAGGCCCAGCTGAGTACAGAAGCGCTGATGGTCACAAGGCGCAAGCGCCTTGGTGAAGATATCAGCAGTGTTGGCCTCAGAGGCCACGTACGCAAGACGCAGCTGACCACGCTGCTGCAGCTCACGAGCAAGAAAGTAGCGGAGAGCAATGTGCTTCGTTCTGTGCTCCAGTCGCTGCTCCCGACACAAGGCCAGCATGGCCTTGTTGTCTACGTACAGCACTGGAGGAGAACGAGGCAGCTCTCCGAGGTCAGTCAGCAGGTAGGTGAGCCAGCGAAGCTCCTGTGCAGCCATGGCTCCTGCGTAGATCTCAGCCTCACAACTGGAGCCGAGAACAGAAGACGAGCGGGTAGCCCACCACGAAACAGAGCCGGAACCAAGGCTGAAGGTGTAACCCTGTGACGACCGCTGCGTAGCCTGGTCGTCAGCCCAAGAAGCGTCTGCGTGCCCAGTAAGGACCACTGGACTCTGCCCTCCAAGCACAAGCCCCA